CATTTAGTGAGTTGTGCACATAATTGGCAGATGGGTTTTAACTATAATAAATGCAAGATAATACATGTGGGTTATCATAATCTGAATTGAATGGGAATAACCTTAACAGTGTTATGAAGGAAAGGAATCTTGGTGTAATAATCGATCAATCTCTAAATCCATCTAAGCAATGTGCTGTTGCTAATGGTAAGGCAAATACGATTTGAAGTTGTATCTACAGAAATATTGAATATAAGTCTAAAGATGTTATAATTTTATTGTACAAGTCACTGGTTAGGCTACATTTGGAATATTGTGTTCAGTCTTGAACTCCTTACCTTAGGAAAGACATTGAATTGTTGGAAAGGGTTACTAGAATTGTGCCTTGGGTGGAGGGGTTGTCATATGAGGAGATACTGAAATCTCAAATTGTTTTCTCTTGAAAAAAGAAGAGTTAAGGGGGGATCTGATTGAGGTGCTTAAGACTGTAAAGGGAATTGATGGTGTTGATGTATCATCTTTTTTTCATATTTAACAGTGAGAATAGTGGGACAAGGGAAAACAAATATCAATTTTGGAAAAGTAGGAGTCTTCAGCTAAGATAGTTTAATTTTTCTAACAGGGTGGTTGGCCTTTAGATGTAGAGACAGTAAATTTAAGTGAGTTTAAGAAAGAGTTTGATAAGTATAGCTTTAAGATTTTTTTTGTTAATTATTTTGATTTAGTTTAGAGGATGGAACAGCTGAGATAGACCAATAGGTCCCATGTTGTCCAAAAACGTTATGTTACTGCAAATAGTACCAAAATTAGGGAACTTGTACATTGTTTTTAAGAATTTAATAGTGGGTTTCACTTATTAAATGTCTCCACATAAGAAACATTTTAAAAATAAATCTAGTGTCAAATATGGCATTAGACTAATCCCTAATTCATGACCAACGTTTATTATTATTATTTAAAAGAGTATCCAGTTTTAAGCACAAAACATATAACATGGTAAATTTTCTGACTACAACTAATGGGAATGAATTAATAAGTACTAAAACTAGTTTTAAGGTGTTTTATTATATGCACATCTGGGGGATTTGCATGAGTATGTAATACTTTATGTAAGAATAAAAATTTTATTTATGCAGTTATGCTTTCATTAATCCAGAAGTTTTGGGAAAGGTTGCTCATGGTTGAATTCTAACTGCGACAACCAT